GCGTTAACGAAGATTCTTATAACGAAGTCCTGATCGGCTGGATCGGCAACTTCGTTATATCGAGGTGTGACTGTATGCCAATCGGCTAAGCCGATTTTTTGATAATTTGCCGAATTTAGGCCGAATTTAGGTCAATTTTTCGCATGTCCGATTTTTTTGATTTCGACCAGTATGAATGGCTGTTATATTATGTTCTTTCTCTGCTATTTTTACAATCTTGTCATCTTATTTCGCAGATATTATATAAGGCTGTCCTGGTCTTTTTGAAGTATTTAGGTTCTGATTTTCATGATATCTTTTAACCCAATAAATAGCTGTAGACTTACTACAATATACCTGTTTAGCAATAAATTCAAAATTAAATTTTAGACCAGCTGAGTGCTCATGTAAAAAGACAATTTCATTTTATTTCTCTAAAGAAAGTTTTATTTTTCAAGCGAAAATTTGATGATCATTTAAATTTTTTTTTTGTATCATTGATATTTATAAATTTACAGGTGATCATGTATTATGTTACATTATATTTCTGAAAAATTTAAGGGGTAGTTATATAATAATTTTTGATAATCTCAGGTGGTTGGATACTTATGACCGCTACTGTAAATACCATCATGAACGAAGAAAATATTTGAGGGATGTTCAAAATACAATGAATCAGAACTTGAATTTACATCAGCAAAAGCTGCAGCAAAAGTCTCAATGTGGTAATACAGATGACATAGAATCATATGCTAAGCCACATCCTATTGGCGTTTTAAGTGAAGTCAAATAAAATCTTCTAAAGAAATTTCGTAAAAAAGTTAATAAATTTAAACATTTGCTTTACCTTACATGTAATGAAAGATTTCTATCTATAATAATTATAGAGAGGGAATGTTGACACCACCATAAAGAGAAAGCTTCAAAAAAATTCTCAAAAAATAACAATATAGACCTAGACAAAGTTTTTGATGAACTTCAGGATCTAACAAAAATTGAGAAAATGTTAATTACATGAATATTTTCCATGATGTCAGTTTACAGACTATGCAAAGGTCAGCATGAATACCATGGAAATGTTATCAACTTTTCTCAAGATATTCAAAAATTTGCTTCTAAACTTTCTCAATATCTATTATTATTAGATATACTTATCATACGATATCAATCTGTGAATAATCTGAAAGCATTTAAAGATTTCAAAGTTCATCATATCAAGTTACTCATGCCTTAATCTGGTTAAAACAAAATAATTATTACTATACTAATATAATTATTGATCATATAGTTCTTCAGTTTTTGCCAGTTGATGATACAATTGATGACTAACTTTAAGACATTAATTATGATGAAAACTATGATAAAAATAAGGATAACATGATTATATATACCTTTGTTCCACTTCTACCTTCAGCCAATCATGAAGATATTGCTATTAGAGATACTTTTGATCAAATATAAGGAGAAAATCATTCTATAATGTGGTCACAAATAAATAAAAATCCTATTAACGAATTCTAGATTTCAGGATATATAACATACGTATTCTCAATCTTATATCTGACTGGATATGCAGATCTTCATGTAGAATATGTTAAAGATATAAAACCTGCTGAGTATTTTAAGCATCTTCTTTAATATAAGAATAGAAAATTTGCGTAGCATTCTCATTGGTAATATTTTGCATTGAATTCTCAAATGTGTTAGCAGGCACTACAAGAAGGAAAGATATATATTAAGCAAATATTACAGATACATAAATCACTGTTACAAATATTCAAAAAAGAATTACCCAAGGTGATAACTATATGGTCAATAGAATTATGCAATTTGGAAAAGGTTTATGTGGATCTCGTCAATTTTAGAATGCTCAGCGCAATAAATTAACTGATATGATTAAGCAATTAAGACCAAAAGGCTTAATCTTTTTTACATTCAGTGTCACTGATTTGCATTGGCTTGAACTTTATAGGCTTATGCTATCTAATGGTAATTGTGAGACTTCAGCTAAATGTCATAACTAAAACATTAGGGATAATTCTCATCGCAGTCTGGTTTTTCCATAAGTGATTTGAAATATTCTTAATAATATCTTAAAGAAGTAATGGGATTTGAAGGATTAGTAGTTTCAGTTTGAATAATAAAATCATGGCAGTATTCACGTTCATGAAATTAGAAAAAGGAAGAATGCATATATAATAGATTGGAAGTAGATGAAGGAAAATGAGAACAAAATGAATGAAATTATACAATACCTTGATAGTTTAGTCACTACAATAAATCCTAGATTCAATATGCCTATTCTGGAATGGTATCCATACCAAAAGAAAAGCAATGAATTAAATGATGACTAGCAGGATTACATTGATTTGATTAATAAATTGCAATGTCATATCTGATGTAGTCCTACGTATTATCTTCATATTAACTGAAAAGGAAAACAGGTTTGCCAATTTGGATATCTAAAGAAATTGTTGAAAGAATATTTGTTAGAGATAATAATAATGGACAACTGGAGCTTATAATAAGAAGAAATGATTAATACATAAATTCATATAGCTAACTTCAATTACAGAGTTAGCGCACTAATGTAAATTTAAAGCTGATCTTAAGTATTTATGTTACATTATAATATATTTTCAAATATGCAAGCAAAGCAGAACCGCAATCAGAAGCCTTTTAAATATATTGAATCAAATTCTTGGTGAAAATCAGCTAGAAGATATATTACTTACTCCAATCTAAAAGTTCTTAATATATAGTGTTGCAGAATGAGATATCTTTGCACAAGAAACTTATCATATTCTTCTCAGCCTTCCTTTTTACTACTCAAGTCGCTAGTTATCTTTTTGAGTCTTAACAAAGAAGCAAGTCTGCATATCACAAGTTCTGTATATTATAAGTTCTGTATATCACAAGTTCTGCGGATCACAAGTTTTACAATGTTATATTTACTGCTAATATCAAAGAAGATTTATTATAATAGACCTTCTAGTATTATAATTTAATTCAATTTATTTATAACTTTTTTTATTTTATTTTAAATTGTTATGTATAAAGATGGTCCCCATAATTATTTTCAAATTTCAATTGAGTTGCAACTTAATTGCGCCATAAGGAAATTTAATTGCGCCACAAGTTGCAACTCAATTGTGCCATTTTTTTTAATTGCGGTGACCATCTTTAGTAAACATACATAATCCTGAAAGTTAAATCTGAACAATAGATTCATAATACTTCTCAGTCTTTTGTATAACTAACATAGAATTTGTATTAATTAATAAAGAATTAGAATATTTAGATGCATTACAATATTGTAATGGATCTGATCTATATAAAGTATTAAACTCTAAAGGAAGATAACATAATTGTGCTTCTGGCATTTTCATTGCTATTAATAAAATAAAAATTTCATTAATTTTTTGATGTTTCTTCAAAGGTAGATTTGGATTCACGGTAATCTATAATAGAATTATTAATAGCAGTTTATTATAAAATATACATATATAGATTTCTGAAAAATATTGCAAAAGAAAACATATACTTTTCTTTGTTAAGAATGTAATATCTCAAGAAGAATATTTGTAGGTTATTCACGTAGATGTGTACGTAATATTTTCTCTAAACCCATTATCGTCTAAACATAGTCAGTTGATATAACATTTATATTTGATGATCTGCTGTGTCTCAATATATTTTTGAGTACTTTGATGTAAAAAGTTATAAAATATTTTTACAGTTGAATCTGAAAACTTTAAAAGTTCAGCAATAATAGTATCTAAGATAGGATGTTTATTTAACTCTCAATAGAATATATCTGAAAAAAATATTAATAGAGCTTTAGTATAATTTTTGCAATAGAATTTAAAAAATACTACCTATACATGAAATATGATTCTAAATAGATATTAAAATCACTGAATCAGAAAAATACTGCATATACATCTAGAACTAGAGGAATAAGATTATCAAGCAAATCTTTTAGTATAAGATATTCAGCATCTTTATACAGAGTCTAAATTTTATTTCAATACTCGTCAAAATTTTCTATCAAGTACTGTGAGAAACTTCTAAAAGGAGATTAATATGCTATAGTTTAAGTTTTGTACAAGAGGCCTCCATTCTTTAAATATATATTTGTATATGTCAAAAAAAGGGTTGATATTAAAGGAATATTAATTCTCGACTATTTAATGAGATATGCAAGAGACCTATAATAAAAAGAAATAACAAAATAGAATTAATAATATTTGAT